AAGTCGCCGATACGATACACACCTCAATACATAGGCCACGATACGTTACATATCTCGATACTGTGAGATTTCTTATTTATTCTTATTCTTATTTATTCTTTCGTAAAGGGACAGCACATATTAATGAACATTAAAAATGTAAATATGTAAAGATTATAGCCAGTGTGACTCATTTCCTTCTTCAGTCCAAGTGAAATCATCTACAGGACAGAGAAAAGTGCAACAAGAATCACACAAAAGTACATAAAACCAGCACACTCACTGTACATACAACACACTCACTGTACATACAAACTAATGTCAAACAGTTCATTTGAAGTTCAAAATCAAGAGTTTAAGAGTTAAACCAAGAGTTTCGATTCAATTCGACTCGATACGGTTCGTTAAAAATAAAGGCTAAATCATGTCTGTGATACTAAACATCTTTGTTAAACCACTTCTTGTGCAAAGTTCATATAAAACACAAACATTTTAATCATCAAACAGTGAAAATGTCAAATGTGTCGCATAAATGAGTTCTTTCATCTAAACAAACAACAAAACTGTAGCTCTGTAACAAAATAATTTAGTAAAATATACCAAAAAATACTCTTGGCGAAATATTGATGCAGCAGCCCATGATATCGATACTGTATCATCACATCGATATTTCAATATTTTTTCACACCCCTAATTATCAAACAACTATCCTTAATGAACTCTCTTTACCTATTGTGAATTCTTTAAAGGAGCCATAAGATTTTGTTAATTCCATGATCTAACTGTGTTCTCATGTACAAGGTAAACATGTCTTATATCTTGCATTGGCAGCTTAACTATCTGTATATGGAACGTTTTAAAAAAACTCTCTCCCACTACAGAATGCCTGTATGGTAAGAAATTTGTTTTAAATCCTGACTCAACATTGCGAGATAGGCCCATCGCCTTGACAGCGGTCTGTATTGTCTCTGCGCCGTTTTGTTTGAGAAATGGTGGTTTTGTTGCCTCTATAGCAGACTTTTGGAAGAGCCTGTAATTGACTCCATTAAACAGTGATTATCTCCACGTGCTGATGCTATTGTCTAGGTGGCCCATCTGGACGGTGGCAGGCGCTCACACAGCCTGGAAACACTTTCGCCTTTAGCATGGAAAGTCTCCGCACTGACAAGCGCAGTGACCTCACAACGCCAGCCACTTAGCTCCCCTGTTGTTTATCTTTGATGCCATTGCCGTGAACAAGCCTGTCACCGACCGAGTGAGCTAAGAGCATCTACAGGGAACAGAAAGTCACATGAAAACACTAATGAAACCGTAATTATCGCATTGGATCAAAGAATTCAACTGTAAATCAACCACTGGCACTGAATAAAAAGGAGAAAAGTGTTTGTGAATTGTGAAGTTTAACATTGTTTGGTGAAGCCAGTCATTGTATTATGGACTTTTGCAAACCTAGAATTGAAAGTGTTTTTTATTGCTTGAGAAACCTGGTAACCATCATTCATCTGTAAATGGATTTGGTTGTTCTTTTAGTTGTCCGTTTAGTATTTCCATTGACATTTTGACGTTGGCTTGCGAATTCAAAGTGGATTAAAGGGGACGTTGTATTTTATTAACTTCTTAGCATTCGTAAACTGTTTTTCAGCGTGTTCATTTGGCTCCAAAAGTCTCTGAGCAGCTGTATCAGTGGGATCTGCAGAGCTGTGGCAGGTTCACCAGAGCTGCCTCATGTGGAGACTGTAAAGTGCCTTTTCATAAAACATCTTTCACTCAAACATTCTTCTCTGTGAGGGGGACAGTTATGGAATATGCTCTCTGTTCCTTAAAACATTGCAAAAATCAATATCTAGGGAAGTTAAAATGACTAAGATTAAGAACATTTGACTTTATTTGAGTGGATTCAACTTGACAAGTAAATTGATCTACCAATGGAATATGTGTATTTTTCTTATTTCAAGCAACATTCAGTTTAGTTTCTTATTTTAAGTGCAAAAAGTAGTTGTTTTTCTTATCTTAAGTGTAGCAAGATGTATTTTCATTTTTAAGTACAAAGCGTTTTGTTCCATTGGCAGATGATTTTACTTGTTGAGTGAAATTTGCTTGTGGTTAAACTTTGTTAATTCAAGTGATCTTAACTTGGCTAGATTTGAGTTTTTGCTGAGAACTCAGCATCTAGATCAGGAGTGTTAAACTCAAATTCACAGAGGCCAAAATTAAAAACTGGGACTAAGTCGTGGGCCAAATTAAAATTTATTGAAAAATTTCAGCAACATCTGCAGGTTTTCTCTTCTTTCGAGAGATGTAATGTTAATTTTTTTTCTCATCAAAATAAATGTTTAATAATAGTTTTGTTTAAACAATGAATCCAGAAGAAGCAGAATATAAAATAATAGCACCATTTTAAATAAATAATGTCTCTATAGTCTATCTGTAGTCAGTAGGCAGCTCTAATACATATTTGATATGATCTGGCAGGCCAAATTTGGTCCCGGGCCTGAGTTTGACATGTCTGATCTAGACTTAACATGTTTCTAATGTGTGTCTCAGTGTTCAGTGTTCAGTGTCATTTCATTCTTTTGTTCTTTGTCATGTCTTACACAACACATATTAAACAAAAGTGACTTTTTTTGATTTTTTAACCACATTATATGCTTGTCCTCTCATCAAAAATATACCTGGAGTTGTATTTTGTTCCATTCAATGCATGCAGTTCAACACAATTAATCATTTCAGCTTTATTTTACCTATTGCAGACTTAAAATATACCATAAAATATGTCCTGTAAAACCATAGAACAGTGTTTTGATGGTACACGAACTTTTTCAGCTGGTACTTTGACAGCTCTTCAGCTTTTGGTTCACCTAATTTACACTTAATTTTAGTCACGTTTTATGCTCCTTTGGACAATTTCTTGTTTAAAAGTACAGTGGAACAGATGTAGTCAGCTTTTAGACCTGGTTTAGCCCTAGATTAAACCTGGAACAGTGCTGTTACAGACCTGATTTAGATCTGGTAGTACTTGGAACGCCCAATCTTTTCTTTGGTTGTACTTAGTGTGAAAAGTTTGAGAGCCACTTTAATCTTAGAAAGTTCTAAACGTCTGCATTGATAATATTTATTCAAAAATATCTTGTACAATGGAATGCGTTTGAATGGAGCTACAATGGAGGATTACTGTACAGAGTTCACCTTTCTGAAAACACATATACGGGAAGCGCTGCATTTACTTTGGCCTGGCGCGGTCTTAGCGGTCACTCACTTTGTACCAAGATCAGCGGGTATCACCACAAACCCTTTCAGTGGAACACAGACGACCAATGACCTGTGAAATACCAATAATGGAAAGTAAACAGAATATCTGATAAAGCAGGATAAAAGTTGAAGGAAACACAGCTTTGGCGAGAAACTTGGCCAGACCAGGAGGTATTGTTGGAACAGATTTACATATTCAAATGGGAAATCTCCAGTCTGCGGTCGGAGATTCTGGGTTATCAAGTTCTCATCTCACTCTAACACGAGCACACACAATCTTACTAAAGAATCAAGTGCATAAGTTAAAAAACGAAACCTGTCCCTGATGCAGAAAAGCGCAGGAAAGGTCTGAGTTCGTGTTAGCCTGGAGCCGTGTAAATTCCGGGGTGTTAATAAGGTTAGGACACGCTGGAACATTTCGAGAAACAAAGCAGGAAGAGAGAAAGGCATCTGGAGTAATTAAGAGCTCCTCACAGCTTGTCTTAACGCTACATCCAGATCTTTGGAAGGAAGCGCAACACTGATAAAGAATGGGGAAGATTATAGGTGGTTTGGCTGGAGTTACATCCCTGAAAACAGTCCTTGCCCAACCTTACTCAAGTCTTGGGTCCAAATCAAGACAGACATACCTTTTCCAGATAGTAATAACTTATAATTTTTGCCAGATATTCACAATGCCGCAGTGAAACCGTGTGGTGATTTGGTGAATATTTAGCTCGGAGGCTCTTGTTGAAATGCATAGGCACTTTGAGCGAAGGATCATTAGTAGGGCTGGGTGTCATTAAAAAGCTACCGATACAATACCTATCTCAATACAAAGGCCACGATATGATACATATCTCGGTACAGTGCACTTCTGATTCTATTCGAGACATTTCAAAACTATTTGATACGGTTCAATTAAAAATAAAGGCTAAATCATGGCTGTGTTAAACCACTTCCTGTGCAAAGTTCATATGAAACAAATATTTTAATCCTGAAAACAGTGAAAATGTCAAATGTGTTGGACGAACGAGTTTTCTTCCTCTGAACAAGCAATAAAACTGTAGCTGTAACAAAATAATTTTGTAAAATATACCAAAAAATACAGCAACCCACAATATTGATACTGTTTCATGACATTAAACAATTTGACATTTTGATGTTTTGCACACCCCTAATCATTAGTAGTGTCATCTTTGGACAACATTCAAAAGAGGCCCTTCCATCTTTCTAGCCAAGCTTTCCTCCGCTCAATTTAATTTCTCTCCAGTGACTAGGTCAGGAATCAGAATACACTAGACGGTTTGCAAAAACCCCGGAATTGCGAGTTTGGGCACCAGCCAATCAGCGAAGAGTCATACATTTAGTGGTGGAAACGATTCCCGAGATCGAGGATTTAAAGACGGAATAAAGAGAATGTTTGGTGAATTTTATCAAGGGGAAAGACGTTATTGCCCTTAATATACCAGTTATCACCATTAGCCGCGCATTACATACATCACGACCAAATAGCAGCGATTGGTTAAATGAAAAAAAGTACCCGCCTACCGTCAAGCCAACGAATCCTAATGCTGCGAGGTTAGAGGGTTTCTACGAAGTGAAACCGGCTGAGTAATCAGGCTACCATCTTTCTGCATTATTTTATGAATTTTGAAAGTTCCGTATACAATGCTTTGTGAATTTGTTGATCATTCAGTTCTTTAAATATAATTAAATATCAAATATGTACACACTGTATATTGCACATCATTTTAAAGGCCAGTTTTTCAGCTAAACCTAACCCCATGCAGATACATTATATAAGCTCTTAAGGTCAAAATAAGTCGGCTGTGTACTGTCTTCATCTAATGATAAAGCATTTCGCCGTCCGATAATCAGGACGTGCGCTTTAGCATGCTAGTTGTGGTTAGTTGTTACCATGATGGCATAACTCTCTGCTCCAGAAAGTTGTGAAATGCCCTTATAAACTCATCACTATCACCGTGAATAATTAGAATCAGAATTAGATCACAATGCTTAAAAAATGACTGTAAAATTACTGTTTTTAAAATTAAGTACAGAGCCTTTCCAAAAAAAAATTTCGTCATTTTCTTAGTAAAACGTGTCTTTGTTGAAAGTGCGCAGATTTGCTCTATTGTGTGTTTCTGTTCTCTTGATGGTAGCGTTAACCTCAGCATAGCCCCTTTTCCTTTGTTCTCAGTATTTAATTTATTGTTTCAAAGCTGGCAAGTTGTGTAAGTCATCATGTGTTAAGTGATGCATAGAATGAGTCCAGCCTTGTAAATATACCATAAATCTTATGATAGAATTCCCAGCAAGAACAATATACGTCTTGATAAGAGTGGCGTGACTGTGCAAAAATGTGCGTCCCAATTGTGATGCCAGATGAGAAGAGCTGGCTTCGAAGTTTCTTTTTAGTTAACAAAACCGACTAAAACTGACAAGTTATAACAAATATTCTGAGAGGGAATATATTGCTTAAGTTCTAGACAGGTTTTTAGACTATATATACTTTTAATTCATCATTGCTGGACAAATAAAGGTTCTCTTAGCTTAGCGGGACAGATTTGTTATAAATAGAGTGACTGAGGTGATTTTATTTTTTTTTTCTTTTTGCATTTTTTGCGAGGGAGACAATTTACAGAAATGTAAGACCACGTGCACGGCAAAAAGTGGAGTGTTAAAATTGACTCTCACGGAATCAATTTTAACATTTTTTCAGGATTTATATGAGTCCAATCTGTTCTAGAGTTAATTAAGTTTTTGGAAATGTTAATTAAGTAACACTGGACCAAAGTTCTTGTTTAACCCCAAAATCAAGAGTTATATTAACATATATTATATTAACATATTATATTAACGAGTAAATTGATAACACTTTAAAGAGTTATCCTGATTTAGCTAAACAACTCACAGAAGTGTTTTATTTTTACACTTTATTTTAGTTAATTTAAGATGAACATAACTGGTTCAAACTGGTCTTCTCTTGCAGGAGTTTGAAGTGGTGGGTGGGAGGAGCCAAATTAACACTAGAGGAAGTTGAATTAACACTAGAGGAAGTTGAATTAACACTAGGGGGAGTTCAATTAAAACTAAGGAAAGTTTAATTAACACTAGGGGAAGTTGAAGTAACACTAAGAGAAGTTGAATGAACACTATGGGAGGTTGAAGTAACACTAGGTGAAGATAAATTCACACTAAGTAAAGTTGAAGTACCACTAGGGGAAATTCAATTAAAACTAGAGAAAGCTGAATTAACTTCTACCATATCAACTCTGGCAAATAACCCCAACTTTAACCCCCATTTAACTTTCAAATAGTTAAAACTACTCATAAACAACTCTGAAATATTTTACCCTGAAATTTTAACCCTCCAGTTATTGCTGTGTGGTAAAATTAAAGAAAATACTACAATTTAACGTTAAAGGTCACTTTCTATTGTCATTTTTTATTTTAATCATGGTATAAGAATCAGTTTTGAGTATCGAGTCTACTCCTTAGTATCGAAATGGAGTTTGAAATTTCAGTATCGTGACAACACTAATATTGACTGACTCTTATGTTCATCCTCGGTATTTTGTACAGGGAGAAAAACTCTGTCTTTGACCCAAATTCAAATTTAGCCCGGATCCAGCATCTGTGAAGTCACCGAGTTGCCCAGATTGAACTTCTTACCAGCTCAGCGAGCCTTAGCGGGCTGTTTGGCTAGCTTAAACGCCGCTTTATAGCAGGCCATAGGGGTTGGGGAACTCCAGATGCCTCACCAAACGCCAAGCTTTTGTCATGGCTGGCGGGCACAGCTCACCCCACAGCGGAGGAGACACTAGACAGGTCCAGAGCACACAGAGCTCACCCCCACACTCCGCTCTGGATCCTCCTACACTATAAACGCGCTCTGTGTTTAATGAGCGGGCAATTCCAGCTAATGCCTTTCATATGAGATCGAGATGGTCCCATAAAGTCAAAAGTAACCAGCGATTCAACAAAACGTACTGGTGATTTTTGGGAGGTCGGATTTTATCTTGTGTACTATTTCTTTCAGTGTTCGGTAAGATTTGAGCAGGATAAATTTGAATGTTTGCTTTTCAGATTCCAGAATGATATGAGATCGACTTAGACTTAGATTTACTTAGACAAACTTCATTGATCCACCAGGGAAATTGTTTGGAAATAAGATGGGGAAGAGACAGATTTCCATACTGATTACATTGTACTTTACCATGAAATATCCAAAACGTAAATGCACAAATGTTGAACCTGATCACAAAAACAACAATTTTTAGTTCAGCCTCGCATCTGTCTTCAATATTACTCCCTATAGAATGTTGTGAGGTCATCTGAAACCCAACAACTTCTGTGACTCACTATGAATACAAACTAAATACTAAAGTGTTTTGTTTACTATTTCTGTACTGCAGCTCAGGATTCTTAATTATTTTGTACATTTAGATTTTTTTTTTTTAGGAGTGTAACAATAACCAAAATACTGTGATATCGTATCATCAAAAGTCTCTCAATAATATCACGGGCTGTCACAATATATCGAATCACGAGTTCTTTTGCTTATGGTGGAGCAGTAACTAAAAAGAAAAGAGGGAACTCCATCGACCATGATCCTTTTAGTGAAAACTACATGAAGAAATAACAGTTCTAAGCACTTTGAAATCTTTGGATTAAGTTTTGTCAAGGCATTTTAAGAGGAAAAAGTAGAATATTCACATTTTTGTTAGTCTCCACAAAATACTGCAATAAATACTTCAGTAAATACTGTACTGTGAGATGTACAGTATATCATGAAAATATTGTACTGTGAGATTTAGATATTGTTACATCCCTATTTTTTATGCTTATTGTGCATAATTTCGAGTACTTCACCAGTCAAATGATTTTTAGCTATTGCCCACTGAGACTTTTAAAGTGAATTATCAACCAAATGTGGTGACTGAAACTTACTAAAAAGAGAATATGTCAGAATAAAGCGTATTATTGAGGAACATCCAAAACTGTTTTTTCCCCCTTTTTTGACTGTCTTTGTTCTAGAAAAGGTATTTTCCATGTGTGTCTTTTCGTATAGTCCAGATAATTTGGGATGCACCAAACAGTATTTTTGTTTTTTTTTTTCAGTTTTGATACCGATATTGATACTTGGGCTACTTTGAGTATCTGCTGATACTGATTACCTGTTACCAGTGTAGGGGCTGATTTTTCCGCCCTTAAAACACAGTTAACGTATTACAAATTGTATCCAAATGTGTTATGTAACTGCTATTTATCCTGCAAGTAACAGCTGAACAACTTTGTAGGAATTAAAGTTCAAACATTCTGAAGTATTCTGGATTTTGGCTGAACCAATGTCATATCACTGATATCCAAGATATTTGATGCACTATGATATTTGTGCATTCCTACCAGATAATGGTAATGATCATTAATCTATAATGCACTTCAAAACTGTTTATTGTCACAGGTCTATAAGCAGTTATCAGCCTCTGTCCTTGCAGTGTTTCAGTTCCTCTCAGGTTTTTTTGGACGGCTCCGATCACTCAAATGCTCTGGCCAGGACCCATTTGTTTTCCTACTAAATATTAGCGCCCGGAGCCTGTGAGTCATGAGACACATCTTTCATCTGTGTCCGATTCGTCACCTACTTTCTCAACGCCGCTCTTTGCATCAAAAATATAAAAAAAAACTCCACACGGAGACAAAGCAGAGCCGCACATGTTTGCACGGAACACGGCGCGCTCCAGCAGACATGTTCAGAGAATGTGGATACATCAAGTTTGAGAAATTAACATTCTTTTTCCCTCTTGTATTTTTCAGAAACCACAGACCATGGATCAAGTAAATGTGACAAGTAAGTTGGCTTTTTCCAAATATGTGAGAGGAATTTCAAAAAGAGTCCGTCTGCACAGTATCCACCTGTTATTTGAATTTACGTATTATTTTGCGTTAATAATCCAAAGGTTGTGACATCAGTGAAATCCTATTTTGAAAGATGAACTATAATAAAACATAAATAATGTTTGCACAATATACACATATTTACAGAGAAATAATGTTAAATTTAGGCTTAATTTTAAATGCTCATAGTCCACAGTCTACACATTGCAAATGATATTGTTTTTCTGTTTTTAACACAGGGGTCTCCAATCTTTTCTCCAGTGAGCTACCTTTAAAAAAAATGCCAGAGAGCTACCAATTTCTAGCCAGGCTCGCGCCACCTACTGCTTCCACTCAGTTTCATTTCTGTCCAGCGACTAGATCAGGAACCAGAATACAATAGACGGTTCGCAAAAACCCCGAAAGTGCAAGTTCGGGCACCAGCCAATCAGTGAAGAGCCATAGATTCAGGGTTGTCAATGATTCCCAAGATCGTGGATTTAAAGCCAGAACAAAGAGAATGTTTTGTGAATTTATCAAGGGGAAAAATTTTATTGTCCTTCTTCCTACGGGATTTGGGAAAAGCTTAATATGCCAGTTAGCCCCATTAGCGGTGCATTACATACGTGACTACCAAATATCAGCGATTGGTTAAATGATAAAAAGTACCCACCTACCGTCGAACAAACAAATTCTAATTCTGCGAGGTCAGACGGTTTCTACAAAGTGAAACCGGCTGATGAATCAGGCTAACCAGTTTCAGCAGTCACAAGGAAACTGAGTAAATATAAGAGCAACGGTGAGCCTTAGAACGGGGAACATATATAAAACATAAACCATTATCCATTTATCAGTGCACCAAGTTATGCATCAAAATAATATATTTACATTGGTAATTCATTAAATTTACTTACTATCCACAATACATAGACTTCAGAAATCCCTTGGTGAGGTACCTGGAAGGGGGTGGAGAGCTCCTGGTAGGTTGGAGACCCCTGTTTTAACAATATTAAAGGTGCACTGTGTGATATTTCTGGTGGGGGATCTGCCAGCTAGTTGTCTCCATGGAAACGGTCTTGCTTTGTCTGGAATATTCTATATGGTCTTAAACTTATCTTTTTTTTTTTTTTTTTGTTAAAAATACCTTAAAACACAAATTCTAATCATGAGTAAGGTTGTGTCTTCACAGATCTGACTTGTAACGTGGGTTTTGTACTCTCCATACAGATAGATTAGGTTCAATTCAATACTGTGGGACATTCCAATCAAAGCAATGATACATATCCACTAAAAATGTTACATACTGTACCTTCAGAACCATATTTTGACTTTTTACTTGCAAGATTTAACATAGAAACTATTTGTGTAGCTATGCAGAGCACTCACTGTCCCAAGTGTGTGTATTTGCACTGTGGTTTCACAACGTGGTTTATGACAATTATTTTTATTACAAAAACATTTACACTGTAGTACTTTTGGCCTTTAACAACTCAAACGTGTAAATGAAAGAGCCGACATGCTTACATCAATCTTTTGGAGAAGTGATGTACATTGTTGAAGGTTACAGTCTGCTGACGTACGCGGCTCTGTTCACTCCCACTGTTCTTATCACAAAAACACTTCTTCAGTCTCTAAACTCACGTGCTTCTCTGTGTGTGTGTGTGTTGTGTGTGTGTGCGCAGTAGCAGCGGCAGCAGTGGGGGGGCAGCGGCGCACAGGCACAGGGTGAAGGGCAGAGATGAGACGTACTGGAGGGAGATGAACGCCGCCATGGCCCTGACCAACCTGTCCCAGACCAGCAGCGACAGCCCCCCCGGCACCACCAGCTGCATCATCCAGAAGTCCTCTCACATAGCAGAGATCAAGACTGTCAAAGTGCCACTCATGCCCAAGTACTGACCCACACTTTACTATGCAACCACCGGGACCAAACACCAGTGCTGAGCAGAGACTCTTTTCTAATGTTAACTTATTTTCATAAGTTTGAGATTTCTTTTTTTTTTTGTATGCTATGTATTTGCCGAAGTGCCTTTGGAAGTATTACTGTGCCCAATGTAAACTCGATGTGCCTATTTGAGAAGAAGTATGATTTTTATGAAACCTACGCTACAGTTGTGCCTTAAAAATGTGTTGGAGTATAAACCCCAGACCTTAAAGTCAATATTGATCAGACACAGTATTTAATTCAGTTATATCTGCTAACAATTAACTATTCAAAATGGCTTCCAATCATTACCATTTAACAAAAGCTCTCAAGTGTCTTCCTCCAGCGTCTGCTTTCTGCTCCAAAGCACATGCTTTTAATGACAGATTGGCTGTAGACCCTTGCTTTAAAAAAAAAAAAAAGCTGATCATTGACCATTTTAAACAGCTGGATCTCTATTTGATTCAAATTAGACTTGCTAATGCTACCAAACCATGCGACGAGTCTCCACTCTGGCTTTGAAGCGTGCAATCTAGGGATAATTGTAAAACTGACATATATTGATGGAATAATTTGAAGTACAAATACAGTTTTCAAATAGTCTGGCTAATTTCAAAATACAGATTGAACACTTTAAAGCCACGCAATAAAAGAACACATCATTATATAACACATTTGATAATACTCACAGAATGAAATAAGAATAACAAAAGCTGTTGCTCAACTTTTTCAAATTTAAAAACAGACTTTCGAAGTTCCATGTAAACAGCAGGTGTGCGCAGAACAAGCTGAACTGGCCTCAGATCCCAGTGCAAGGTCTTAGGGCCCAACCTGCTTTTACAAACAACAACTATGCATCACTATGGTCTTTGTTTAGGCTGGACTCTTCCCTCTGACTGAAACCACAACAGTGTTTTGTCTCCACTGGGCTTCCGTAGCATCCAGACGTCATGTGTGGAGTAGATAAGCAGCCGCTCTTCACGGCCTTTGCCAGTCACGTGTCTTCAAATGCAAAAAGTCAGATCTAGGTCATTACCGTATTTTCCGGGCTATTAGACGCACTCTTAAGCCTCTAACACCATCAAAAAACGACCGCACCCCGCAATCCAGAGCGCCCAATACACGAATCCACTCAGGTGTCCCAGCACCACTTCAGTAAACTACAAAGCTGCACCACCCGCAGAACACACAAACACACACGGAGCAGACAGCGACCGCACAGTGACAAACACCCACAGACACACTCATCACTCCACGCCGACGAGGAACTAGAACGAACCACAAAAGCGAGTCCAATGTACCACTCTGAGCCGCAACTGAACAACTGAGTCACTGCGAACACGCCGACAATCCGTTGGTCCCAGACAGCACCCTCCCTACACACCACAACTGAACAAAGCCCAGAGTCACCGTGAACGCACCAAACAAACAAAACCACTCACCCATCACACTGTTGTGTTTCCTTTAAAGTCCTGTGCGGTTTATTTGTGAAAAAAGTTTGAAAATAGACCATTTAATGACAGTGTGTCTTATAATCCAGTGCGTCTAATAGCCCAGAAAATACTAACTCAAATTAAGACTTGATTTTAAGATTTGACTTCACAAGTAAAATGATCTGCCCGTGTAATATGTGTATTCTTCATTCAAGAAACATACAACTTTACTTTATACAAACTCCAAAGAGCACATATTATGCAAAATTGACTTTTCCCACTAAATACAAAGTCGTCCTCTCCAAGCACTCTAAAATGCTCCCTTAACATTTTGCCAAGATTGTTGCGTCACAGGTAATAGTGCTTCGTTTTTAAGCCCAGAAACCATCAGTGGACTGTGGTCAAACTGTGTTCACAACAAACACACGCCTCGATTAGTATTCACAGAGGAAAAGGGACTTCAATTGTTTACTTTCTAAATGCCTCGTTAGAAATGGAGGTGAAGTTTAAAATTTTCCAAATGCAGACATTATTTTCAAGTTAGAAAATGTGAAATACTTATCCCACGTTGACCGAAAACACATTTAAAAGAGAATTAAAGCCTTACAAATGGAGGTGTTTTCCTATTTTCCACTGGTAGATCATTTTCCTTGTCGAAGTGAAGTCTTTTATTCTTGCCGTGTACACACTGACACATTGACACACATACTGCATTATTCAGTGTGCAGGAACGACGCTGTGACCTTAAAAGGGATGATATGATGAACTTTCGCATGTTTGCTTCTCAGTGCGAGATAGGGCCACCAGCCGCCACACCCCTCCCCTCTCTCCTCGCGTCCTTCTGCCTTTTGATCCGCGGCCTTTTCAGCTGTTCAGAATTATGTTCAAATGAGTGTTTACAAGAGCCCAAAGGAGAGACTTAAGAGCGCTTTTTCTGCCTCAATCTCTCATTATTATGTCAAAAGCCGCCAGTGTTTGTGCATGTGTGGTCTGTTTGCTCTTGATCAAAATGACAGATCGTCCGATATGATTTTTTTATATTTGACTCGCTGCTCCGGCCGATAACTAATATTTGCCGATACCGATACTAAAATTGTGTAACTCAGCAAATCCCTCAAAGTTATGTTATTATAGTAAAGTTCACAAATTACCCTTTTTTTCACTTTTGTAAAATGTACAGACAATTTGGGAATGACACATGGGCACGCAAAGACCCGGGAGGTGCAGAAAAATGTGCAGAGCAAAATATTTGACCTAAATATCAGCTACATTTTTCTTTATCGGACCGGTACCGAGACCCTCCAGTACACAGCAAAAAGTGGAGAGTTAAAATTGACTCTCACAGAATCAATTTTAACATTTTCTCAGAGTTTATATGCGTCCAATCTGTTCTAGAGTTAATTGAACTTTTTTTTGGAATTGTCAATTAAGTAACACTGGACCAAAATTTCTGTTTAACCCCGAAATCAAGAGTTATATTCATGTTTTGCGAGTAAATGGATAACACTTTGTAGAGTTATCCTGATTTAGCGAAACAACACACAGAGGTGTTTTATTTTTACTTTTTTTTTGTTTGGTTGTTGTTGTTTTTTTTGTTTTTGTTTTTTTTTTTATTTTAGTTAATTTAAAATGAAATTATGCACAAATCTGGTTCAAAATGGTCTTCTCTCGCCGGAATTTGAAATGGTGGATGGGAGGAGCCAAATTAACACTAGGGGAAGTTGCATTAACTCTAAAATAAGTTGAATTAACACTAGAGGAAGTTGAATTAACACTAAGGAAAGATGAATTAACACTAAAAGGTGAATTAATACAAGGGGAAGTTAAATTAAATCTAAGTAAAGTTGAATTAACATGAAGGGAAGTTAAATTAACATTAGAGGAAGTTGAATTAACACTAATGGAAATTGAAATAACACTAAGAGAAGTTGAATTAACTTCAACCATATCAACTCTGGCACATAACCCCAACTGGAATCCTCATTTAATAGTCTAATCTAATAGTTAAAGTAACACTTTTTGTATTAAAAACAACTCTGAAATAATTTACTCTTAAATTTTTAACTCTCCATTTTTTGCTGCGTATCACTGATCTGGAAATTAGAACCATACGCCCAACCGTATCCCTGATCAAAACTCTGCTTGACTGTCTGTTAGTCTGGGGCTCTTATGTCATCAGATGGAAAGAATCTAAAACTGAAGCAACGATGCTCACGCTGTAATGTCCTGTTTGTTTAAAGAAGCACTATGTTACTCAACTCCATGGAGATGTTATTACTTGGCCTGAGATGTTCTGGAAGTACGGCATTAAACTCATCTGTCTTGTATCTGGTACAAGAGTGGAGAGTAGAGTGGATGTATGTAAGCTTAATGCATTACTGTGGAACATTTCAGGTAAGCATTAACAACCAGGTGGCGACCTCTAGAGTTACATAGTGTACCTTTCATTACAATAGAGTCTCGGACTTCCGGTCATTGTGCAATTCATACTGGGAAGGATTTTCTGAAAAAGTGAGCATCAAACCTCCATGTTTGTTTTCCCAGTGGGATGTGTCTATTGACAAAGTTGATCTTTTCTAGTCTTTTGAACCATATCACTTTTGTTTCTGGTTCTGATATTGTCATATTTTAGTTTTGGGATTTGGACATCGTTAATTGTGTGGTTGTTGGATCCTAACAGCGGAAAATGGCTCGAAAAATTTGTTTGCGAACTCCATAAATGCAAAAGTGAATCAGATGTGTGTGACTGCAAACCTCTGTTCAAACTGTTTCTCTTCCCAACGGAATTGAAAAATAGTGAAAGGCGAAGGTGATGGGCAGGATTGATCCACGGGAAGGATGAAAAAGGAAACCTCTGACTGCCTAAATCACCCCGAGTTTGCAGAGAACATTTTGTATGTGGAGCGACATCAAAGCAAAATCCCAATCCCTCGCTCATATTTGGTTACAAATTTAAAAAGTCAACGCCAAAGTGAAAGTCACCAGCTGTTCACCAAGAAACACCTTCCACTGCAAAGAGACCAAGACGTGAATGTTGCTGTAAAACCACAAGAACAAGAAAGTGCAGCTCAGTCTGTTTGTCTTCTGTTCCTCTCACTTAACAAACGGGATCCCGCTTTGATGACGCTCCACATACAAAATGTTCACTGCAAACTCGGGATGATTTAGGCAGTCTTTTTCCTCTTTCCTGTGGATCAATCCTGCCCATCGCCTTCAGCTTTCACTTTTTTTCAATTCCTTTGTGAAGAGAAACAGTTTGAACAGAGGTTTGCAGTCACACACATCTGATTCACTTTTGCATCTATGGAGTTCACAAACACATTTCTCGAGCCGTTTTCCGCTGTTAGGATCCAACAACCACAACAATTAACGATGTCCAAATCCCAAAACTAAAATATGACAATATCAGAACCAGAAACAAAAGTGATATGGTTCAAAAGACTTGAAAAGATCGACTTTGTCAAAAGACACATCCCACTGGGAAAACAAACATGGCGGTTTGATGCTCACTTTTTCGGAAAATCCTTCCCAGTATGAATTGC